CACGGCGGGGGAAACGGCCAAACTGACGTTTGAGGTGGTTGGCCACACGGCGGTGGAGTTCTGCTGCGCCGTCGAGCTCGTGGGGAGCTGCGGCTGGCGGCATCGCCACGTCGGCCCCCGCCCCTGCGGACCCTATCCCTGGCCCACGCGGGGCGGCCCCAGTGCCAGGGAGAGGGCCCCACTCGCCTGGGCGAGGCGCCTCGGGCTGCTGGGTGGTGCTGAACTTCCTCACCACCGCCGCTGCGTCCGCCATGTCCCCCTGGGGCCACGCTGCCGCTGCCGCCCGAGACATCTCCCCCGCTCGTGCGAGCTCGGTGACACGGCGTACACGGGCTGCGACGTGATCCTCGCTGTTTTTCGCGGTAGCCGTGGTGTGCGTCTGGTCCTCCATGGAAAGCCAGGCGACATCCCACTGGCCGTCCTGGATCCACCGCAGGCGCTCCTGGAGGCGCTCACGCCGTGTCGTCGGGGTCGGGGTCGCATTTTCGCTGAACAGCAGTCCGTCCAGCGAAAGGAACACCTTCCACGGCCTCGTCAACGTACTCGACGCCTGAGCATCGTTGCCCTGGCGGGCCCGCTCAATTGCCAAACACAGCCGCACCTTCACGTGGCCGACGGCTGCCGCCATGCTGTCGGGGATCAGGGTTGTGGTGGGCGCCCCTTGGAGCAGGATGCGGTCCCACCCGATGGCGTCCCACCAGTCCAGGTTGACGAAGCCCACCTCGTGGTACGCGTCCTCGCTCGTCACCTGGTCGCCCAGGTAGTCGTCGCAGACGCCTGTCTCGAGTCCGCCATCATCGCCTGCTTCCGCAGGAACGTCGAGTGGCGGTTGTAGGATGTCCGCCGTGGTCGGCACCGCTGCCTCGGGCGCCCCCAGGGGAGTCACCCGTGCGCCTGGGCCGCGCGCCCCTGGCGCGGCGGCGGCAGGGGGCCTCGGGGCTGCCCCAGTGCCCCCTTGCCGCGCCATCTCCCTGGGTGGGAGGGGTGGGGGCCTGGCCTTCGACTGTTTCCAGCAGGGGCAAGATGGGGCCCCCTCGGGCCTCCAGGGCTGCCGCGAGGCGATCCCTGTCGCCCTCAGGGGGCTGAGTGAAGCCCATCATCGCCGTAGCTGGTGGCAGGGGGCCATCGACGCATGCCATGTGGAACCACTTCCTGCCCGCGTGCGCCTTGGACCCCGCAGGCGGTGTCACGACGCCTGCCACGCGCCACTCGCCCGCCTCGAAACCTCCCATGCAGCGCGTGCAGTGAGCCTTCTTGCCGCGGGCCGCTTGGGCGCTGACGCACCAGCGGGTGATGCGTCCACCCGTCATGCGGCGCCGCCTCTGTGCTGGCTGGCCCTCGCTGTCGCACATGTGGACGTCGATGTTGCCATCCACTGGGATGTCGGCTGCGTTCGCACCTGCCGACGCGGGGGCGGCAGCGGAGGCGCACGGGGCGACCCCAGCACCTCCGCTGCCTCCCACAGCTGCCAGCACTCCGCCTTCGCCTCGAGCCGCAGCGGCGCTACTCCCAGCCACTCGAGCCCCCGCACCTGCGTCCGCAGCGCCGCCAGCGGCCGCCGCCATCCCAGGACGTCCCTTCAGGGCGAGGAAGAGTGTTCGTAACAGTGAGGGCGCGAGAAAAGGAAGGGTGACTGCCACCCGGGGTTTGAGGGCAGCAGTAGCCCCCCCGCCCACAGGCTCCCCAGAGCCTCGGGGGGACTACTACTACTACTGCTACTACTACTACTACTACTACTACTACTGCTGCTGCTGCTGCTGCTACTACTACTACTACTACTACTGCGACGACGACGACTACTACTACTACTACTACCACTACGACTACCTTTACGACTACGATTACTACTACTCCTACTATTACTACTACTACTACTACTACTACTACTACTACTCCCACTACTACCACTACCACTACACTACTACTACTACTACTACTACTACTACTACTACTACTACTACTACTACTACTACGACTACGACTACGACTACGACTACTACTACTACTACTACTGCTACTACTACTACCACTACTACTACCACTACTACGAGTACTACTGCTACTACTACCACTACCACTGCTGCTACTACTATACTACTAGTATTGCTGAACTATTATTACTACTACGATCACTTCTACTACGACTACTACTACTACTACTACTACGACTACTACTACTACGACTACTACTACCTTTACTACTACTACTACTACTACTACTACTACTACTATACTACTGACTACTACTACTACTACTACTACCTACTACTACTACTACTACTACTACTGCTACTACTACTACTACTACTACTACTACTACTACTACTACTACTACTACTACTACTACTACTACTACTACTACTACTACTACTACTACTACTACTACTACTACTACTACTACTACTACTACTACTACTACTACGACTACTACTGCGATTATTACTACCACGATTTGTTTTGTTGCTATGGTCGCATTTCGTCCTCGTGTCTGGCCAAACACCACCTACGTGCACATTATATTGTACAGCGACATTCTTGGATCCATACAGGAGAATTCAGGAAAACGTCAGATTCACACCCCATTTTCGTCTCGGTTACACCACACCCCACCTTCGTGCATTACTCACGATTGGGCATTAGTAGTAAGACCTTTATTTATAAATACAGAACACTGATGGGTTCACACCCCACTTTCGTGTCGCAGCATTTATGGGGCAGGGTTCCAGTAGAATTTCAAGGGGTTCTTGGAGTAACCTTTCCCGCTGGCCACCAAGACGGCCAAAACTCGGGCCGACGCCCTTACGACACCCCCAGGATTCCGCAGGATCCTGAAGGTTCTTGAGGCACCCTGATGGGCCATGGTGGGTTTCGCCAGATGTTGAAAGATCTTCAGGCGTGTTGCAGGTCTTGAGGTAACCCGACGGATCCCCAAGATACCTTCTCAGGAATTTGGGAATTTGCAGGATCCACATCAAGTCCCCGGATTCCATAAGAGGCCCTCTTTGGTGCACACAGGCTTTGTGGTGCACGCTGGCGTTGTGTTGCGCGCTAAGCATTGTGGTGCACACAGGCTTTGTGGTGCACGCTGGCGTTGTGTTGCGCGCTAAGCACTGTGGTGCGCACAGGCTTTGTGGTGCACGATGGCGTTGTGATTCGCAATCGTTATGATGTACGAAGTCGTCATGGCGAATACAGGCATTGTGGTCCCAAAATATCCGAGCGTTCCTTGGGCAACAAAAACAAATAATCACAACCGGGTCGCTCATTGAATTTGATGCGTTCGGATCCCCAAAGACTTTCTGGAGATAGCTTCCGTCGGGACTTTGGAGGTGTACGCAAGTTCTGTGGTAAACGCAGGCATTGCGGTGCACGCGGAAGGTGCTCGCAAATGCGTTGCGGATTTCGCAGGGTCCGCACCTGTTGCGGCGCCGAAGGTCCCCAAGAGTCCTTCCGTGGAATTTGGGAACCGGTCAGATTTTTCAGAATTTTCAGGATTCCCCACGAGGCCCTCTCAGGAATGTGGTAATTGGTAGGATCGTTTTGAGTTTCAAGGATTCTTTAGGAGGCCTTCCAAGGAATCTGGGGATTTTAGGAGGCACTCTCCGGAACCTGGCAGTGTATAACATTTTTGGAGTTCGTAGGATTTTTGTTGGGGGCCGTCTGTCTTGTTTCACACCCCACTTTCGTGTACTATTGTTTCGTCTTGCGTGTATAAGAGCTGCATGAATAAATCAAACATGCGCGGCACTTGCACACCTTACCTTCGTGCCGCCTAAGAATATTCTTATGCTCGGATTGTTTACGTATTTCATTCGTATGGTATCCGTATTGTCTTCGTATTGTATACGTATGTTATTCGTATTGTTTTCGTCGTGTATTCGCATTGTATCCGGATTGTATTCGTATTGTAGTGTGTCCGCACTCTGTTCGTAATGCTCTCGTCATGTATCCGTATTATTATCACTATTACTACTACTACCACCACTACTACTACTACTACTACTACTACTACTACTACTACTACTACTATTACTACTAGAAACCACTACTACTACTAGTACGACCACTACTACTACTACTACTACTACTACTACTACTACTACTACTACTACTTTACTACTACTACTACTACTACTACTACTACTACTACTACTACTACTACTACTACTACTACTACTACTACTACTACTACTACTACTACTACTACTACTACTACTACTACACCACTACTACTACTACTACTACTACTACTACTACTACTACTACTACTACTACTACTACTATTACGACGACGACGACGACGACGACGACGACGACGACGACGACGACGACGACGACGACGACGACGACTACTACTACTACTACTACTACTACTACTACAACTACTACTACTACTACAATTATTACTACTACTCTTACTTCGACGACGACGACGACGACGACGACGACGACTAGTCCTACGACGACGACAGCGACTATTTCTGCGACCATATTAGAATTTTAAGATTATGTTTATTGCTACGAGTGCCAACATTAATCCTAACACTGCGGCTACGTGTATCGGAGAGCAGAACAGAGCAATACATTCAATATGGTGGACAAACATATGTGGAACAGGAGCGGGGGGACCAAAGTATAGAGTAATATGTCATAAACGAGTTACCGACACCATAATAGCACGACGTACGTTTTTAATGCAGCTGCGGAGTATGATATAATTGCAAACAAGCGAGTCGAACCTGAGAGAAGGCGTCGTTCCAGTAGGCGCTCGCGCCGCCAGGAAGAAGCTCTGAAAGTTCCGGTGGAGATCGTTCGTGGTTTGGCCCTTCTATGGCAGGGCGCGCCAGTCCCCCGCGTGGGTATCCAGCGCGTGGCCTCCACATTTTTCAAGCATGAGTCCAGCCGCGTGTGTTTCCAGTTTGCTGATATATCCTTCAACGTCGCCCGCTTCCATTGCAGGTTGCTGGCTCCTCCAATCTGCTAGTCCAAACCGTTGCGAGGGCGTGATCGACACCGTTGGTGACGCCGCGAACGATTCTCTTGACATGGTCACGGGTTTCGTGCAGGAGGGCATCCGTGTTCTGTTGGTTGTTTGTTTGTTCTGACACGCGGTTCACAGTGTCTGGGTTGGCGACCTTGTGTTGTGTGCGCGGGAAGCAACCTGAGGCTGCAATTGTTCCCATTTCTTTGCTCCTCCTTCCTCTTCGGATCCTGGCTCCCCCGTCCTATTCTCCCGCTCTCCTCAGTCTCGTCCTCCTTTTTGTTTTTCCTGCGAACTCTCTCACCAACTGGTTCTTCCGCTCCACCTCTGCCTCTGACATGGGCGTCTTGTAAGGCCCCTCCCCAGCATTGGCTCCAGCGGGTAGCGGACAACACGGGAACCAACATGGGCGTGTCGCAATTGATGGTTACACAAGTTGTTTTCGTTTCCGTAGTCGTCGTCGCTTTCTTCGTTCTGTCCCTGCCCTTTGTGATGTCTAGTGTTCATCCTCCTTCGCTCCCCCCTCGTTCCCCCCTAGATCTCGCGAGTTGGGCCCGCGTGACTGAGCAGATTTGACAAATCTCCGTCTTTGTCCCGTAGAATTTCGTTTTGCGCTTTCGCCACAGGAATGAACGAGCGAGTGTAGTAGCGATAGGGAGTGGAGAGGGCAACAATGGAACTGTGCTCGACGATTCAGTACGGAGAGGCAGTCCATGCGACCCTGAACGTGAGTTGCATGTGGCAGTGATGTCGGCCACGCCAGCGCTTCTGATGTACATATCGTTCGTTGTTGGTCCAGAGGAGACCTCTGCCAGAGGAGCGTAATGCCAATCATATTGCAAGCCAATGTTAGCCTCCTAGTACCGCTTTTCTCCCGTCTCACCGAGTCGCAGGACGGTTGCTCGCGATGTTGTTTCCCTTCATTGGCCCTCCCTGTTGTCGGAGGATGCCGTGGTTGGCGTCGCTGATGGAGTTGGTGGTGTGCTCGATTGGGCATTCGGCACCGCCGACAAGGATATACCAGCGGGTCCAGCTTCACACAAGGCGCGCATCCAGCTTGCCAGTGGTAGCCGGGCCCCACTTCCCTGGCATTCAAAGGTGCCTATTGGAAATCATGGTCACCTCAGACGCAGTACTCTTGTATCTCAGCCCTGCAACCGCCCACCAGGATCCCTCATCCAGGTTAGCCCAGAACGAGGCAGCAGTGATGATGTGGGAAATGACGGCTCGGATTTTTCGCGCTTTACAGACGGATGGAGTCGACCGGCGGGTAAACAAAAGCATTGGATTTAGGCATATACATCCAATAGTTGTTGATACTCATGTTGCGAATATGTTAGGTCATTGTGTCCTAAACAAGCCACAGGATACGTCGGCTGTGGGCACGACAGAGAGAGGGAAAGAATGAGAGAGAGAGAGAGCGGAAGAGGAATTGATGAGTGTCGGAAAGGTGGAAACGGATGATGATGATGAGGAGGAGGAGGAGGAGATGGGGTGAAAGGTGCAGAGGAAAGAGGAAGAGGAGAAGGAGGAGACGGAGGAGGAGGAGGAGGGTGACGATGAAATATTTGGAGAGCGAGAGAAGAAAGAGGAGCCACATACATCTGCAGGCCAGGGCGTTCTTGCGGAGCAGGCCTCCGAACAGGCGCAAGCGGCGGGCAGGCATAGGGTATCAATAGTGTTTCCTCCGCCACCCCGAGGGTCCCGGGAGGCCCCAGAAGGCCCCAAGCGGGCTAAGCTGCCTTAAAGCTTGGCTAAACCGCCCAACAGATAGCCTCACCGATCTTCGAGGGTCGATGGCGGCGTTTAGCGCAACAAGCAACGACGTACACAACAACTCGGAGTTCCGCGCGGATTCCTCGGATCGGCGCTGGGCCCCCTGGCGGCGCCTCCTGTGCCGCCCTTGCCGCGCCGAACGCGCCAGGGAGAGGGGTCCAGCGCCGATCCGAGGAATCCGAGCAGACGTCCACGTTTTCATATTTATGTCATTGCTTATTCCCTTGGAGGAGGACCACCATGGCTTGCAATCGCGACCGGGGGATGCGTCGCGCCCCAGGTCCTCATAGAGGTCAAGGACTTGATCGGCGAGGACGCCTGGTGCTGCCCAGCTTTCTCGCGCGGGCTCGCTGCCATCATCCCCCCCCCCGTGCCTCTGCCCTCCTCCCTGGACCTCGTCCTTCCCCATCCCCTTCCCTCTCGCCCACGCCTTCGCCATCCTTCCGGTCCTCCTGCTCCTGCCCCTCGCTCGCGGCCACGCCCTACACGTCTGGGAGGAGAGACGGAGACCACCGCCACCCGAGCCCATCGGGCTGCGGGCCGACCTCTCGGCGGCGGCACGCCCGAGCGTCGTCCAGACCCAAGTGGCGCTCGGGCGTGCCACCGTCCAGGGGCCGCCCCCCCCCCCCCCCAGAATGGGTTCTCGGAGGCGGTGGTCCCTGCTTCTTCTCTCCCTGCCCTCCTGTTCCTGCCCCTCGCTCGTGGCCGCCCCAGACATCCAGCGTCTCGATTCTCTTCGAGGCACGGGCCCCCGGCCTCTCGACCACTTCCCTGGGGCCCGGTGCTTCATTCTGATTCATGTGTGTTGACGGTCCAGGGCCCAGTCATGGCCAGGGGAGGCCGAACACGCTGAGAAGCCTCCGTCTCCGTTCTTTCGAGGCGCCCGATGTCTGGGCTCGCTCGTGGCCGTTGCCTTCCAGTCGTCCTCACTGCGGGCGGCACCAGCGCCGACGGCACCCAGCAGCGCGCGCGGCCGCACGGAGCCCGCGGCAGGCGATGGCGACAGCACCGACGCCCGGCACCGAGGCAGAGCACCGACGGCGCCCAGTGCCCAGACCCCCTTCGATTCATGGGAAAACACGGCGGCATGTTTCTCGCTGTGTTCAGTCTGCAGGGACCCCTACCAGCTCTCTCCGGCGCCTGCAGGGACCCCCGCAGCGCCTTGCTTGAAGTTTCAACGTGTTCTGGCAAGCGTTTTCCTACTCGTTCCCAATACGTTTGCCACAAGCCTTTCCGCAGCTCCTTCGAGGCTCTTCGGGAGCTCCTGCGAAGCTCTGCTCTCGAGCTTGCAAGCGCCACAGAGAGCCTCTCAAGCGTCCTTGCAAGCGCCCCCCCGCAGGCTTTCAACGCGCTCTGGACTATGCCGCTATCCGGATTTTGGGCTCCACAAGGTCGCTATGCTCAGCCTCCAGCGGCCCCTACCGGGCCCCGCGGCCGTCAAAGAACCGGTCAGGATGGACAATTGGTCGCGGGGAATGTGTCGAGGCGTGGGGGGTCGACGTCATGAAACAATTATCCTCGCGAAGGGCCCAACCATGTGCAGTTGTGAATATCGCCGTTGTGGGCATCGCCTTTGGTGGATCTTTTCATGGGCCACGACGCGTGTAACGGGCGTGCCGAAATGGGGCGGGGACGCATGCGGGCGCAGCCATAGTGGCCTTCGGTGTCGCTGCATATGGGCCACGAAACGTGTGACTGGTGTGCCGAAATGGAACGGGGCCGCCGTGCAAACGTCCCCAGTGGGGCCTTCGGTGGAGCTCCCTATGGGGCCACGTAGCGCTGTGCTGAGTGCGCTGTACTGAGTGGGGTGAACGCATGCGAACGCCGCCACTGGGGCCTTCGCCACGAATTGTTGTACTGAGGGCGGGGGGGCGCATGCGAACACTGCCACTGGGGCCTTCGGTGGAGTTCCCTGTGGGGCCACGAAACGTTGTATTGCGAGGGGGAGACGCATGCGGACACCGCCACTGGAGCTCCCAGTGGGACCACGAAGCGCTGTGCTGAGTGGGAGAAGTGCATGCGGACACTGCCACTGGGGGAGCTTCCTGTGGGGCCACGAAACGTTGTATTGGGTATGGGAAACGCATGCGCACACCGCCACTGGGGCCTTGGGTGGAGCTCTTTATGGGACCACGAAACGCTGTACTGGGTGGGTGAGACGTATGTGGACACCGCCACTGGGGCATTCGGTGGAGCTCCCAATGGGACCACGAAGCGCTATGCTGGGTGGTGGAAGCGCATGCGGACCCCGCCACTGGGCGAGCTTCCTGTGGTCCCTGGGTCACATCGTGGCCATCCTGAGGGAGACGGAGACGGACGGACGGAGACGGAGCTTCCTGTAGGGCTCTCTATGGGGCCACGAAGCGCTGCACTGGGTAGGGGAAACGCATGCGGACACCGCCACTGGGGCCTTCGAGGGGCCCCCCTTATGGGGCCACGCAGCGCTGCACTGGGTGGGGAAACGCATGCGAACCATGCCACTGGGGCCTTCGGTGGAGCTCCCTATGGGGCCACGAAGCGTGTGAGGGGCGTGCCAAAGTGGAGGGGGGTGGCATGTGAACGCAGCCACTGTGGCCGTCGGTGGAGCCCCCTATGGGGCCACGGAGCGTGTGAGTGGTGTGCCAAGGTGGAGGGGGGCGGCATGTGAACGCAGTCGCTGGGGCCGTCGGTTGAGCTACCTATGGGGCCACGAAGCGTGTGAGGGGCGTGCCAATGTGGAGGGGGGTGGCATGTGAACGCAGCCACTGGGGCCTCTGGTGCAGCCCTCTATGGGGCCACGAACCGTGTGAGGGGCGTGCCAAAGTGGAGGGGGAGCGGCATGTGAACGCAGCCGCTGTGGCCTTCGATGGAGCCCCCTACGGGGCCACGAAGCGTGTGAGGGTCGTGCCAAAGTGGAGGGGGGGCGGCATGTGAGCGTAGCCACTGGGGCCTTCGGTGGAGCCCCCTGTGGGGCCACGAAACGTGTGAGGGGTGTGCCAAAGTGAGGGGGTGACGGGAGGAGGGGGAAGGGTGAGGAGGAGGAGGAGGAGAAGAGGAGAGGAGGAGACGCGGGGACAGTCTCTCCAACACCACAGGATGGTTGGGAAAAAAGGACGTGGGGGGTCTGGGGTGGGCGCCTCCTCTTCGCCGGGTGAGGCTTCGGGCTGCGCACAGACATCAGGGAACGACAAGTTGCATAAACACTGACTTTCGGAGGTCCGCGCGGATTTCTTGGTCCGGCGCTGGACCCCACTCACTGGCGCGCGGAGCGCGCCAGGGGCGACGCTGGAGGCGCCGCCAGGGGGTCTCAGCGCAGATCCGAGAAATCTGCGCGGAGTTCCGAAAGTTGTTCTGTGTACGTCGGTGTCTGTTTTCCGAAGACAGCCCCACAGGTAGTCCCAGCTGGCCTCAACAGGCTCCCCGAGTAGTCCAGGGCGGTCTCAACACCCCTTGGCGCCGCCCCGGCGGCGCCAAGGGGCGTTCCGCGCTCCAGGGCCGGGGTGTTGATCCCGCCTGGGCCTGCTCGCGGGGCCTGTTGAGGCCATCTGAGGCTCCCGGGGGGGCCCTGTTGAGACCAGCCGGGATTACCCAAGGGGGAACACATAGGGAGTGTTTTCGCTCGCAGGTGCCTTGTTTTGCGGGGCTCGGTGCCCTCGCGCGAACTGCCGAACGACCCGTAACACGGGGCACGTTGGCGACACGGTTCGCCGCCTCAAGAATGCCCGGTTCAAGGCATGCCGCGCAAACACGTCAAAGCAAAATCTTCTTGGGCGACGAAAGCTAGTTATACACATCCACGGCCTGCTCCCAGGCCAGGCCCATCCTGAACCTAGCAGCGGTGTATACGCCCCGCCCTCCTGGCTTGGCCAGGAGGGCGTATACACAGCTCCTGTGTTCAGGATGGGCCTGGCCAGGGAGCAGTGGATGCGTATAGATTTCGTCGCCCGACTCTCGCGGTTCCAGGACTTCGAGGCGCGCCCTCGCCACCTCTCCCTTTTCGGCTGCCTCCCACATGGAGGTAGGATTAAGTCGGGCATGTTTCTCTACGGGAGGAATTTCCAAGAATAGTTGAACATAGTCTGGTGACGACTTGTCGTGCTCTTTTAACTGCTTGTGCCTATTTGTGAATCTTCTTCATTTCTCTTCCAAAATCCGCCTGCAGGAGGACATGCCCGACCGAAAGGTAGGGAAGCAGCCGGGCCAGATCGGACCACGGAAGAATCCCAGAGCCGCGTTTTTGCGGAATTCCCAGATGGGGTCCGAGCAGATGTCGGACGGGGCCAGGATGAGGAGAAATTCGTTCCAAAGCGTTCCGGAACGTTCTCAGAGCGTTCCAGAACGCTCTGAGAAGGCCGCGGCGCCCGATTTTTCCTCCAGAGCTGCTGGATCTCTGAGATTTTTGATTCATCCTCACCCGAAGTTATTTTCGTTTTGGTTTCGTCTTAAGATTGAGTTGGAGGATGGCGCCACATCGCCGATGCATCGGCGATGCGACTCGATGTGGAGCCCGGTTTCCTCTACGCCGACGGCGCTGATGCATGGGCGATGCGGCGCGACCATCCGACCTCATCCATCCGGATCCCATCTGCGAGGCCTCTATTATCACTCGCCTGGTGATCCCTCCGCACTGAGCGAGATGGCCACGGCGGCGCCTCTCAGGCCGCCAGCATCCGACCGCAAGCAGACGTAGGAGGTGTCGGGGTGCCCCCAAAGTGCCCCGCGCCTGAGGCGGGGCGCGTCGCGTCAGCGAATACGGCGCCGCGTTCAGCGGACTCCTTCGGGGCTCAGCTGCACTGATACGCCCGTGTTGAGACGCAACACGTACCGTATTCAAAACGTCAGTGTTAACACGGCGCGCGTTGGCTCAACGTGTTGGCCTACGCTTTGGCGAACGTACCGCGCCAAACTTGCGTGTTCAATCTCCGCGTTGACCCCCGTGTCAACACAACCCGATACGGATTGCGTGTTGCGCATCGGGGCAGCCAAACTTCGGGGTTCTTATCATTCGTCCGCCTCCTCGCTGCCTTCGCCCTTTGCGTGCCGCGTCTGCCTTGACGCCGCTGGAACGTAGCAAGTCCGCGGCTTTCTGACCCGCCGGGCGCATCCGTGGCCCTTGCGCTCGGAAACAAGTGGGCAGGCCTCATGAGCTGCCTGCCAGCACCGATATCTGTATAGCTCACGCTTTTCGCCCAAGGCTACGATCCATGCGCTGATGGAGAAGCAGCAGGGGCTGGCGAGGAGGTCGAGCACGAATACACCGATGCTCGAGGGTGCAACGAGCTAGGTATGGCCTCACCTGACGACCCACTGACGATGCGGATTTAGATTGCTGAT